TCAGTTGAGGACTGCACATAGCTACCCAACAAGCCTCAACTCAACTTCAAATCTGGAAGAGAAACTCCTTATGTGCAGGACAACTCCTCCTGCAAAACAAAATGTTCTTACCAGATGCCCTTCCATGTCCGTCTTAAGAGACAATCCACAAACATTGCCAAGATACCCCTTAAAGGTTGACATTTGCTAGTTTTTCAACTAAGTTACATCCCCTATGCCTCCACCACCTACAAATAACTCCGTGAACTTCTGTTAGGTAATGCCTAACTCTGAGCTGTGGCACTGTTTCCTGAACAGCTTTAAAGACAGACCTTCATAATTTGAAGGAGCATTAAATTACTACAGACAAATAAAATGATGAAGTCTTGATAACTGTTAAGACCACATGAATTTCATGGCAAAGATCATTTGCCCTATGTTGTGGCACATCACAGAATGATCTTTAATTAATATTATGGCTCTGGCATGCTTTTTTGCTTTTTTTTCCTAAATCCCTAACACCACTGATCTGGAAAAAAATTAAATCCAAATCCTTTATGTCCAGAGATACAACAGATTGCAGAAAACACACACAAATAACTGCTAACTCTGAGAACATTTTAAATGGTGACAGTGCAAAAACCCCAAATACAGGTAGAGTGAAATTATGGAAGGATAATATAGAAGACGAATTCTACTAAGGAATCTTGCTCTTTAGCACTATAGTGAGAGTAAAATGGGTGATGAAGCTGTAAATCTGCTTCCCAGACACCCATACCCTATTTTTAAAAGGAAGCATACCTAAAGCAAAAAGAAAGCTTCTACTCCAACTTCATTCAAATGACAGTGTTTCATGTAACACTGGTGGGGACCACAGAAAGTAAAGAAAATAAAACTTCTGAATCAATACAGATTAGCACTAATACTCAGATATTTCTCATAAATTAAACCTCATTTTCCAATAAAATTCCACTGCATACATGTTTGACTGGAAACTGCATTTGCTGAGAAAAATGAAGCAGCCAAAACACCAATCCAATCATCTAAGAAAATTTATTGATAAGGTCACCAAAAAAAAAAAAAAAGCTGATTTAGGACAAGCCGTATCTATCAAATCTCTAGTGAGAAAAGAGGACACAAGTGGAAAATTGGTGCTGTTGGCTGCCATTTAAATACAGTTTTTATTCAAATACCATTCAAGCACCTTTATCATTACATTTCTGTAACTGCCGTAACATCTGCAGCACAGAGATTTCTCAGGTTTTTTGGACTCATTCAAGCACCTAACGCTAAATTACAGCAAAATATAATTTCCTAGTTCCAACAAAAAACTGCACAAGTAGAAACTCAGCTTCTTTGGGACGAAAGCTGAAGTCTGGAAATCTTTGATTATGGCTGGAATATTTCCAGTGAGTAGAAATCCTTGCTACATCACACATGTGGCATACCAGGCACCCCAAATCAATTTCAATCGTGTCTGATGTACTTTCCTCCGGAGTTGTGGCATTCACAGCATATTATACTGAAATAAGCCTGTGTTGAAGAGCCTGGTTTATGAGCAGCTGCACTGAACAGCAGACAGGAAGCTAAGCTGCATTAGAAGCGAGATGGAGAACAGTATTATAAATGGGAGGGGAAGTAAAACAACTTCACACACTTCATCAGCGTAATGACTGGTATTTAAACAATAAAAAAAGAATATCTGAGAAAGGAATACCTTCCTTTCAGGTAAGAAACATGACAGCTGTATTAACACCTCAACAAATGAAAACTGGGACATGTTATCTTACTGCATGAAGTACACAAAATGAACCGTGCAAAGAAAGCTGATCACTCAGTTCTCAACGAAACAAGGAGACTTCCAATAAAATCAAATTTTGAGAAGCGCTGAAGGCCACACACACAGTTCAGCCTGAAATTCGTATAGTATCAGCATAAAACTGAAGTAAAAAGTCAAGAACTTCATTAAGCACAGTAAAAACCAGTCTCAGTTATTAACAATATCAGAGAACCAAGGTGAAAATAAAGCTCTCCATTTCATTCCAGGGTTCAATTATGGGATACTTCAGGCAATATGAATTTAACATTATCTATTCATTTGATCTTAAAAAAAAAAAACAAACAAACAAGAAAACCCACCAAAAAAAAACAACAACCAACAAACAAGAAAACCCAACCAACAACTCACTCAACAAACAATCAAAAAAAAGCTTAAAAACATTACAAACTGGACATTAGCAGACAACAAAGGATCAGGAAGCCTTGATATGGTTTGGATATCCAGACAAAGGACATACACTGAGTTTGATGCACCCTGCACACACCCCCAGTCACAACAAAATATAACATTCTATCATTTTTACACATCTAGAGACCTGGTTTTAGTTCTGCTTTTTCTTTTGCCATGACATAAAAATTGCTCAAAGACAATTAAACTTACTACAGGTCAAAGATATCAATGAACGTTGAAATTGTCCCCCCAGAAAAAAAGTTAAGCTTGATTTTAAAGCGAGCTGAAACATTCTCTTGAATTAATGAACATAGGTTACCCACTAGAGGCCTACCCACCCACTGTGAACATCAAATGCATCAAATTAAAAGACAAATTAAGCATACGAAAACCCCCTTAAGAAATACCAGAACGAGAAACCTCAAGCCTGCAAAGCAGTATTCACAAAATCCTGACTTTTACATAGATTCACAAGGGTGTGCCTCTTCCCACAATTCAATCACTTTGAGAAGCAGTTCTAACAGATGCCACATTGGTAGCTTTGTCAATTTTTGTACAAAACTGCTTAGGCACAACAGTGACATACTTCAACTCTAGATAAACTATTTTGAGCCATTATTTGCTCAGCCAAACACTGAATCAGAATTCCAGAACAAAAATATTCTAGGGTTGTGAATTTTATCTACATTCTAGATCTCAGACTAATGCTTAAAATAATAATTGACAGCTCCCTCCATAGATTTTTTTTTTTTAATTCATATAATAAAAACATGCCTTGCTGGTTTAAATCCAGTAATGAACAAACACACATTATGTGCTGCTTCACCAATCAACACCAATGAAACAACGTTGCACAGAGCTACAAAAATCACACTGTGTTAAGGGACAGCTGAAGCCTATGAAGGAAATTCTTAATAAAGCCAAACACCAAAAATCCACGGAATACGAAATCTGAGGACAATTCATATGAAACAACTGTTTCTATTGATAACATAAGAAACACACTCTCACCCTGCTTACTCCTCCTCTGAAGCTCTAGGAATAGCTTACTCCCCGGCAAGTTTAATTCTGCGCAGAGGAAGCCTGCATTCATATGCGATTGACACTAGTAAAGTTTAATTACAATGGTGAATTTGTGATTTCTTCACTCTGGTGCATAACACTGCTCCCAGTTACTAGTTTGTCACCTCGAGCCTCATTCTGATAAATTCTTCTAAACATTTTAGCAAAGCACTCTAGAATTTACTGTAAACACACATAAAACACAGAGTGGCATTCATTGGTGAGGCTTATGTTCTATTTTAATACACAGCATATCTACCATGCTCTTACATGATTGAGACAACACAAGAAAATGTATGAAGTAGCTTCAGTACTTTGAGAATTCATTCAGAGAAAACAAAGTCTAAAAAATCATAGGAGTAAATAAAATTAGTTTCGCACTGGCAAGGAGAGAGACTTCAGTTTTCTTATACAAGAAAAATTCCTCATTCAATTGTGGGCCAGAATCAATATTTTTCAGTTAGAGACAGATTCAATTCAGTTTCCCCAGCAAAGCAGTCAGTACCCAGCACAGCCAACTTCACTCCTTATCCCCCAGTTTGTCAAACTTCTGCAAGCCTCACAGGAATAAATGGAAAACATTTTTTTTTCCAAAAAAGCTCATTAACTTGAATTCCAAATGCCATAACTGCCCTCAGGATTTTTTTTTCTTCCAATCAACTTTTCCCACTATAGGAAATATTTATCTTCCACCTAGAAGCATTTAAAAGACCCAATATGCCATTAAACCTGAATATGCTTCAAATATTTTCTGCAGCCCAGTAGGTTTGGTAGCATTAGCTGTTACTTGTTACAAGAGGGGGTAAAATTTTTTTTGTAAAAGCAAGAATTCTGTGGTCTATTAAAAATCTTTAAATAAAAAATTATACAGAAATTAGCCTGAAACAGGCTGTGGGGCCTTAACTGCTGAACCAAACCTGCTGGGGTCTGCAGAAAGTCTCCTACTGAATTCAGCGATCTTTGATCAGTCCCAAAGTATCTACAGCAGCACAGATAAAAGACAGCATCTACTTTTTAAAGATATGTTTTTCCTGTAGAACAAAAGCAGCTGCAAGTGATTTCAGTAACTTTATTCTGATGAGACTAAGCAAGCTTTCTGGCTTTAAATCTAATACAGCTTCACAGGTAACCATCACTGTCATCAGGGAATTCTAGCTTTCGATACTGATCTATGGGACAACCACCTTAGGAAAAAGAATAATAATTCAGAAATCAATTCTGAAAGCGATGCTGCTTCTATGTTATAGCTCACAGTGAAACTGAGAAAGAAAACGCTTCATTACATTAAGCAACATGGTGAATGCTTGCTGTAGCTACTGGCAACTTAAGACCCAAGTAAGTACCCTACTCAAAGTGCAAATTTTTATGAGTCTACCACAATTCATTGTCAAAAGTCTAATTCCTGGACTGTTTCTGAAGCACCTACTCAACACCAAATTTAAGCTGTTCCCCAAAATTTTGTTGCAGCATGACCACAGAAATAAAGTTCCGTTCTTCAAAATAATAAAAAGCTACCAGGACTCCCCATGTGCTTCCCTCCAGAAATATTAACATGCTCTAAAGCAAACCAATACCAGATTTTACCCAGCTTTTGCTTGTACTCATGAGACTACCTTCATGCACTGAGGTGTGAAACATTAGTAATTTTGGATCATGCATGTGGTCCATACTAATAAGATCATGAGTACAACACAGACATGTCTTTCAGTCATAACAATTTCCTTCTTACCTTGCCTCCTTCTCTTTCAAAGTCGACATAATCCCGGGTTGGTGTCTGTCGCTGCTCCCCCTGCCAGCTGGCCGGAAAAAACTGGAGAGACAGATTGGTTCCTGTGGCCACAAAAGCCTTTTAGAAAAATCAATACAAACAGGATCAGGGAGCAAGACATTACATAAATTATGCAGGCAGTCATTTATTTTTACATCAGTTTGTGTCTTAAGCCAGGCAGCACAGAGAATACTTAGAGTCAAAAACATGCACTCATCATTTTTCTTAAATATTAAGTTACAAACATCTGATTCCATTTTGACAACATTTGCCATTGGCTGCTTTCAATATAAAATAAAACACAGAATCAATACTTCTTTCAACTCAGTTTTGCTGACATTAGAATCTGTCCTTTCAGTTCTATCTGGATACCCTGCCCCAACTTAGTCCCTGCAATACTAAAAATTGCCCATGCTTTTCAAAGAGCCTGCGTATCAATAAAAGTACCACTGAAGGAAAATGAACTCCTGAGACCTGTTACATGGGACAACTCTTTTTGAAAAGAAAGGACTTTTTCCCTTCATAATCTACCTGTACCTATGTAAGCACTTAACTGAAATGTAAATATTCCTATTTTGTCATCTACAGGCAAGCAGCATCAATATACAGCTCAATTAAACTTCATAGGATGAAGCACTCTTGCCACATTAGGACACCAGTGATATCCGAATCAGCAGATGCTGTGTTAGTGAGACAAGGCAACCAAAGGAATTCTCAGCTGCAGCCCTTTGTAAAATCATTAAAGGGACTGACTTAACCATATTAGAAACATAAACTGCTTTCAAGTAAGTAATTTTCTACGGTATCAAATGAAAGTAAGATTCAGTTTTCTTTTATTTATTTGTAATCCTAACTCCAAGCCATGAAGAGTATGTAAGTTTCTAGACATTATTTCAATTAAAAAAAAAAATAAATTTCTGCAAGTAGAAGTCAGGTTCACAGTATTTATACCCTTCTCTGGCACACACAGTTATGTCCTCTTAAGCATGTGAATACTCAAGCATGCTCCCTGAATATAACTCTGTTTGAAATCCCAGGGTTAAATGTAATTTCTTGCAACCAAATAACTGCACTGATTACCATGATTGCTTTGATTTAAATGGTCATTAACCTAGAATACAGTTTTTCTTAAAAGCTGTATGAATCCTGCTCTAATAGTTGGAATCTCCTGACAAGCACATTCTTTTCAAGCAACCCTGAATCAGTAACTTTCTGGTGTAACTATACTGCTACATACAACACAACAGCTCTACGCTATTTAAGATAGTTCCGGTCACATACTGCAATGCTGCCTCTCATAGGATTAATACCTCCCATTTTGAAAATAGAAGAATTTTGACTTTTTGCCCTCCACGTAGGGAGACTAATGCTCTGCAATCAGGTTCCCTTCCAGATGATCCTTAAAGGCAGATTTCTTTTTTTTTCCCCCAATCTCCTGTTAAGCACATTCTCAATGTCATTAAAGTTGTCCAATCATTCCTAGTAATATTGGGGGGAGAGGGGAATATTGTATTGGTACATTAGCATTTGTTTGCCCTACACAATACAAAACCAAGCATTTCAATCATTGTTAATAGAAGCTTCATCGAGGATAAGCGCGCACAAATAGGAAGCATCAGAACTGCGAGACCACAGACGGTCAGCATCAGGCTGACTAGCTTGGATTATCCCTTTGCTTTTCTAAGTGATTCTATTTACATATCAACAAAGAAGTTATACCTATACCTACCTCCGAATGTTTTTGACTCTTATGTCATCACCACTTAGCCTGTTCAAGAACTACCTTCCCACCTCCAACTTCAGCAAATACACATTTATACTCCTTAACTCATAAGGTTTAAAATGCCCAGCAGTGAGATCTTGGAGTGCAAAGCAGCTGATCACTGCAGCCCTCTGAACCGCTCCGGTTTCTTCAGGCCCCAAGGGTACTGTACTTGCTTTCTGAGAAACCAAGCAAAACTGTGAAGTGTCAATGCCTCCCTGCTTCCACCCCCCCCAACTCGTGCTAGAGAAAAACATGGGAAAAATATCAGAGAACAAAAGTATACAAATTCCCACATCCCCATGGAGTCATGCAGGCAACATTTAAGCCACAGACTATCTAAAAAGCTACGTAGAGATTTATTCTCTGCATTTTTGAAGCCTGTTCCCTGTTTTTGAACAGATAAAACCATCCACTTAAAATGCCCAAGTTCTTCTCAAATCAAAACCCTGGATCGATACCAAAAAACTTGAGAACAGTCTTGCTAGTAACCATACAGGACTACCCCAAACCCAACAATTTCATCCTAGTACCAAGCAAATTAAAAAAAAAAAAAATAGATAAATAATTTTTAAAAAATTATTACATCACAAGTTTGGGCTTAAGCCTGAAAGTAAGAAAAATTACAGTTTTCTCTACTGAGACTTTTAAAGCTCAGTCTGAAATGCTATCATACACATATGCCTCACATTTTGCAAAATCCTGATCAGGTAGTACAAGGGTGATCTAACGCTTATACAGGCAACATAGATATACTAGTACGTTCCATACAAGAAGCTAGTTAGGAAGTCTCCCAAAACAAACTGGACATGTAAGTTATTTTTAGGTTATCAAAGCAATACCAGCAAGCCTGAAATCTTACTTAAAATTTCTCAGTAATACTGGTAATCATTTTCTTTATTCAGTCGTTATTTGACAGAAGCAGCCAACAACCTACTGGTGGTTCTATATTAACCTAAGCTGTTCTCTGCATTTTTTTTGCTGCTTGAAAATATGTTAAGGTCATCTGCAAAGGCTCCCTTTGGAGATAAAAGAATAAATCCTTGATGTCTGGAAAAACCATTCAAGACTGAAAAAAGTAAAATAGCTAGCTCTTTTTTAACATTAGTCATTACACACATTACATTTCTTAATAAACCTGACTACTTGTGCCCTGTTCACAAACCAAAACCAGATGTTTCAGATCAAGAAATTGAGATGCTGTTTTATAATTAAGTAGAAGTAAAAATACACAGAATAGGCATTGCTTCTAAGGGATGAAGTTCTGGCTAAGAAAGACGGCAGCAAGTACAGAGGTGAAGCTACAGTGATTTCCCATTTATATTAAGTAACTACGTAAGCCTGCATTAGAAACCTCGATTATAACCTACATGTCCATTAATTTATTTTTTAGAGAAGGACTAAGTAACTATGTAAGAATGCATAAGAAACCTCGATTATAACCTACATGTCTATTTATTTATTTTTTAGGGAAGGACTAGGATATACCACGCAATTTCACCTCCTCATGAACTTTAAATGCTAGCGAACGACGTTTTCCTTACCTACCTGTTGTTTCCCTGGTGACTTTTCAAAGGAAGCAAACATGCATAATGAAAATGAACGTGTAAAAAAAAGAAAAAAAAAAGTAGTAAAATTAAGAGACATACTACAGGGGCCTCCTTGCAAAATAGTATCACAGGTTCTAAAACCACAGTCTAAGATTCAGCTAAAAATAAATTTACCCAGTAAAGGGTAAGCATGTACTTGAGTGTATATCCTTTTATTCACAAATGCAATGAACAAGATTAGTCGCAGTAACTGGTATTCAATTGTATTTGCTGGGATGTACTAAGAATAATTTTATTGTGCATACGAGTAATTCCATCATGCACTATACCACATGAAATAAAAGAGTCATCATAAACCAAACCTGGTGAACGTAGACATTATTTTCTATGAAAAGGGAATTTTACCTTGTCTTTGATTATATACTATAAATGAGAGGCTACTTCTTCATTTTATGAACACCAAACAGCTCAGAACTTAACAATGCTATGAGATACTGATTCTACAGAAGTAACACCTATCAGAAATCAAACCAGGAAATAACTAGTCAGTTCTTGACTACTCTAGCCCATACTTTATCTCACTTAATTGGGAAGAAGGGAGCAGTCTGCCACTAACCTCAGTGAATGAGAGATATGGGACTAAGCTTGCAAGCTTCAAAGCCTAATTTAAAAGCTTTTGACTTTTTTAAGGTCCCTTCCAACCCAAACTATTCTATGATTCCATGATTTAGTTCACAAGCACATCATACAGCCCAGTCGAGACTTTTAACTACACTCTCCTGAACAATTGTATGCATTTCTGAAAGCTAGTTTCTGGGGAAATAAAATAAAAAAAAAAAGGGGGGGGGGGGAGGAAGAGTACCGGGGACCTGAATATTGAAATAAGCAGGTTACGACTGTAACACGCGCAGGCAGCACCGCCAGCTCGCACTGGCGGGTGGCTAAGAGATGTTCCTCACCTGCCCATCACCTCCCTTTAACCCCCCAACCACATTTTTACTGCTGATGACACGTTCCAGAGAAAAGAGTTCTCTTCCAAAGGGGAAATAAATGCTGCTTTTTAACGAAAACCTCCTTTCCCTCGCCTTCTGAAGGGCGGCAGATATGAATTTGCCTTTTCCTCAAGGAAAACTTTTAAGCGCGCGCACCGACCACCGTCGCCTCCCGTCGCTCCCTGCACTTCAGGTCGGGCTCTGAGAAGCGTTCCCCCCCTCCAAGGCTCTCTGCAACTCTTCATTTAGAATTCCACCCGAGGGGTGGAGCGGACGAGACCAGCTGCCGGGCACCGGGACGGCCGCTTCCCGCCCGCGGCTGCCCGGCCCCGCCGGGCCCCGAGAAGAGCTCGGCGCCACTTACGATCTCGGAGCGGCCGTCGCGGCAGGCGTTCTGGAAGCGGGCCTGCCTCTCCTCGTGCGGCCGGTCTCTGAAGCCGGTATATTTAATCTGCGGAGGACAGGGCGCGCAATCAGGAGGGGCCAATCGCGGCGATAAGGGCGCAGCGGAGTGCACAGACTGCGGCTCGCCGGGCCCGGCTCCCCGCTGAGGTAAGGCAAGGAGATGGGGAGCGCGGAGCTCCCCTGGACCCTCCGCCGAAACTTTCGCGGAGGGCAAGGAGGGAAGGGATGGGGGGGGGGGGGGCGGTGTATGTACGCTCGCCGCCGCCTCACCTCACACTCTCGGCTCAGCTTCCTGAAGAACTCCTCGTTCTCGAACTTGCTCCGCTGATCGGGGACAACCCGCGGCATCGTGGTGGGGCCGCCGGCTTCCCGCCCGCCCTCCCTGCGCTATCCCAGCCCCAGCGCTCGCCTCGCCCTTTGTTAGCCCCCCCCCTCAGCCTCCTCCTTCTCCTCTTCCCTCCTCCCGCCACCGAAGCTCGCGCTGCCGCCGCCCCCCGACTTCCTCCCCTACTCGTAAACTCCGTCTCAACAGCCGCACCATTCACAACTCCAGCGACAGCGCCGCGCATGCGCCGCCCCGCGCCGCCCTCCGAGGCGGGAAGCGGGGAGATGGGTGAGTCAATGCCCCCCCCCCTCACCCTGAGGCGGGCCGTGACTCACCCCCTGGGGCTGAGGGGAGCCGGGGGGGTGTCGCTCTTCTTCTGCTCTCCTCCGTGTTCACAGGGCTTGTCTCGATGGTTTCCGGCTTCCTGCTCCGGGGGGAGCTGCCTCAGAAGCATGGAATCGGTTGGGTTGGAAATGACTCTTCATTTTCCAGCATGGTTGGGTCTGTGATTCCATGATGGCCTGGCTCGGCTCAAAGGGCAATCGCAGCACCCACCACTGCCGGAGGTGCCCTGTCTTGCGGCGGTCCCCAGCCCGTCCATCCTGGGGTGTGCATCAGTCCCTTTGGCAGGACAATGCAGGAGCAGCAGGGACCCACAGCCCAGGCCTGTTCCTTCCTTAGGGGAGCAGAAGCACCACACATCCAGGGGGACAGCAGGGCTGGCCTGAAAACTTGGTGTCAGCCCAGAGCAAAACACCCAGCGCTTTGCTTCACCAGGGCTTGCAAAGTTCACTTATCTGCATGCTAAAAACACAGCACCAAGACAGCAGACTCAACTCTTGATTCTTCATCTTCACAAATAGGCATTTTACAGCTGACTCAGCCAAAGAACACAGCAAGACATGCATACCTCAGTTACTTTCTTCCTACAACCACTCCTCCAGGTTTCTCACAGCTCAGGAGCATCGTAAGGATAGCTGCACATGCCAAAAACTAGCTGGGTATTACGATACCTATTGCCAATGTAAAAAAAAAAATATATATATTGCAGCATAGTAGATCTTTGATAAAGAAATGAGGTTTTCTAATCTCTCAGTATTACAATCTTAACTTTGAACATACTCATGTAAATTGGAAGAGGGCAATGCTAAGGTTAGCCAGAAGGCATGACTTGAATCCAGTATGAGCAAGTTAAAAATAATAAGGGTATTGTCTGATCGCTTAACTGATTGCATACATACTTCATAAAAAATAATTTTTTTTTCCCCCTAAATGTACAAAATATGCTATGAGAAGTTTAGCTAATTTCTGATCAATAGAACCTGGCAGATTTAGGCGATAGCACTGTATGTGTTTAAGCTGTATCTCATGATTTTTGATGTATTACTAATGCAGATCCATGTGTAAATTCAGAAGTTAAAAGTACCAAAAGAAGTGCTTTAAAAGCTTTTCTTCAGTAATAACCAAATTTGAAAAGAAAATCCACAGAGATTGAAAGCAAAAACTGTTGTATATTGCCTTGATTAGTTTAGATTAATGCCAACCCTTAAGCAAAATTTTCCTGAATGTCAGGCACATTTAAAAGGTGCAAAAATAAGATATTAAAAAAAAAAAAAAAAATCCATATCACTATCCATCTTACAGCAAGATCAATACCCAGATCATAGACCTGCAGGAGAACTGCCAAGTTCATAAGGTAGAAATCTGCTCTCTTAACCTCTGATCATCTTTCACTTCTTGCTAGTACATCACATGGTTCCCACCTCCTCACCCCCCCAGATTCACTGGGCCTTCTTTCAAACAAGAATTTGTAAAAAAAAATTTAAATAATAATAATTTACCAAGGTGAAAAGCAAGATGACTGGTTGTAAAGCCCTAAAATAAGAGACAATCACCTAGTAAGTTTGGATTTTCGACCCTGGCATTTATTTCCCAAGATCTTTGGAAATAATATCAAATGTGACTGCTTTCCTCCAGGCAGCTCTTTGTTTAATGTTTGGCATGCTGAAGTTTTCATCTCTCCACAAAATTTTTTGTTTTAGATAAAATTGAGTCAATATTATGGGAAAGTCTGTAACGGATATGACACTGCCTCTTGTTTGTGGCCTTAGTTGGTCTGATGCAGAAACAGGATAGCTGGAAGGGGCGAGATGGAAAGCAGTGGCATGGTTTCAAATTATTCTTCTGAATCTCTCAAGTTTCTCTACACTAAGCTGACAGACACACGCAAAAAAAAAGTTCCTGCTCTGAAGACCACCACCCTAGTGAAGGTAATTGATTCCTTTATATTGTAACAGATACAACTGGGAAAAAAATTATTTTAGGCCTGTTTTGTCACCAGGGAAAGCTTGTGAACTAGGAGCAGCTCTTCCTCTCTCCACCCCATTCAGCCCCCAACATTTAACAAGGTCTTAAAGACAGAAGTTCCTACTTTTTTGTTTGTTCTTAGCTAGTCAGAGGAGAGGCACACAAATTAACACAGCTGCTGCAAGAAAGGCGAGAGCATCATTTCCACAGTTATTTACCCTGTTTGGCCAGAGTCACTGGCCATCAGCCAGCCAGTCAACAGGGATCAGAAGCAGCTTCACAGGTGGTAGCTAGGGAACATGAGAGGGAAAGCCAAGGTTATCATGTTGGAGGTGGGATACAAACTCATCAGACTTCTGCAGCTCAAACTGTTGGGGTTTTTTGCTTTTTGGCACTCCATCATCACTACACCAAAACAAGCTAGAAATCTTTTTTTCCTGTGCATAACTAAATGCAACTGCCTCCAAAAGGTGTCTCAGAGCAATCTCTGCAAAGCCTCTTGGGGTGGTTCAGGCTGCTCAGATGTTAGTAGACTTACCCTAGTCTTCAGGTCCTTGTTCTCTTGATTCATAAGGACATAAACTGTTCATCAGGACACTGAGTGAGTCACCTCCAGAAAACAGAAATGCGCAAGCTTGTAGGCATGCTACTTTCAAAGTGATTTCTCAGAACAGACTCTTTTCCAAAATGAGATTTAATGTGTTTACAGTGCATGGGCAATTGAGGCAGAACACCATTTAAAGATTTACAGATCCCATTACAGATGGGATGTTTTTGAGAAAGGGAGCTTTCTTCAAGTGCCACGTCCTGTGTATACTGCTCTTTCTACAGCCATTCTCTACCATGCCTTTAAAGCCTCTGTTTTCCCCTAGGTAGCAGTGTTTGATGAACAACTGCATGGCACCAATACTATATTGTTCTCTAGACTTCACACGTGTGAGACACTAAGAAGCAAGACTCCTGTGTATCCATTGATCTATGGCAGCTGCAGCATAATCAAACACCAGTGTTATGTATATACAAACTACACTGTGATTATAGATCCATTAATAAACTGGTTGCAAGATATAATTATGCACATGGGGCGTGACATGAAACCCACTTACGCAAGGTCTATACTTACAGGTTCTACAAAATTCAGGGAGAGGGGGAAGAAACTAAGCAGGTGAATTGGCTTCTTTCCCCCAGACTAATTTTCATTTCCCTAGTACCACAACCAATGCTCTCGGCCAGAATATCCTTACTGAAGTCACCCCATCAGTGATGTGGGGTATTACTGATCGGTTTGTGGACACGCAGTCACATGCAGACGCCACCCTGAAATGCTCCAACTCGCCTCCAGAGTAGCCTTTTGTGTCTAGCCTGCATACATCAGCATAAGGATCTGTGTTATCTCAGGACTCCCAAAACAACCCTATTAAGGGTATGGGCAATGCAGAGAGCCATGAGCTGTCAGAGTCTGTGAAATCACTTTAAGCAGAGATGGATGTAGGAACTCCAAATGTGACAATACACAGCTTTTAGAACTTGGCTAAGTCTAAAGTTGATACCTAAACACCTCAGATAGTACACAGAGAGATAAGAGTCAAATTACAATATTAAACGAAATGATCTAGTTTTGTATTCTGAGTGGGAAGCTGCCTACCAGTTAAAAAATGCTAAGTATGGCAGGTATGAGGGAGGAAGCAGCACCTGATGTCTTTCTTCTCTAAACCAGGCTACAAGACATGTATCTGTTTGCTCCAGATGCCAAAGCTGGAACTTTTTTTATAACAGAAGCCTGCAGCTGCTAATTGAAATAACTAAATGGGACTCTTCCTTACCAGAACAGGACTCCTGCCTGCCTTTGTTGTTCCCAAGCCTTTGAAGGAGTCAACAGGATATTGGAGACCCTTCCCACACTGAAGCTGTCAAAGTTCAAATGCCCAGCCTCAACATTCACACCTCTGCTTTAACCTGGGTTACTGTCATAGTGCAACAAAAGACCTAAGTCTTCATGGGCAGGCCTAAATGAAAAGCCAGGAAAAAAACCATCCTTTCCCAGTCAGGCAATTTACACACCCTGGGCTATCTCTGGTTTTGAGCCCTGGCAGTTTAACATTGTGCTTCACACAGAAATAGCCTCTGCTTTAATAACATTGCATATGGCATTTCCCACAAAAGCATGGCCTGTACAGCCTGAGACATCCACCTGAAAACACTGTGATACTTGCATGTCAGCAACTCACCATAATAAGCTCAGGGATGTGCAACAATGGCAGTGCAGCGTGATACCAGGTACAGGAGTCAGATGTAGTGAAGGCGGCCTCTGATTGAGCTTGGCACTGTCTTCGGAGAATACAACATCATAACAAATTGGAAATCTGTTTAAATTCTGTCAGTTAATCAGGGGAATTCAGGTCTTTCTGGAAACCAACATGAAATTAAACTCAAGCTCAGAACCATTACTCCTCCAATGATGCAACAGAGGCTGAACTACACAGAGAACTAAAACAGATAATCGCAGACAGCTTTTTGACTTTCACACTCGTTAGTTGGAACAGTGATGATGGGCAAAGTAGGTGTTTGTGCTATTTACACGTTTTTACACTGGAACTCTGCAGCTTTTATATTTAAACCCTTTTGGTTTTTGTTTTACCAGTCACAGCACAAATTGTGAAAAGAAATATTACCTGAACTCAGAGTCTCCATTGTCTAGCAAGCAGAGGGCAGGACTAGGTGCCTCTTCCAGCCTTTCCTGTGGCCTGCTAAGTGACTTTGGGCATATCACTTCACCTCTCATGCCTCAATTCCCCCACCTACGGAATGATTCAAA